TGCCAAGAAAAAAATGTCTGAAGGCAATCGATCTCAACAAGTTCCAGGAGTGTTCGATCGAGGGTGATCGGAATGCTTTGCGTGCGTTTGCTTGGTCCTTGGGTGAATCTAATGCATGCATTCCAAATTCCCTAAATCGATAGAAGCAAAAGTTGGGAAAATTTTTACAGCGTGTGGAAATTGCCTTTAGAGATTTCATATTGGCACTGTCTCGCAGTTAAACTGCAAACAACGGTCCTTTAGATAAGTTTCTTCAGGGTAAGAAAAAAGGAGAATGGCGCTTTCGATGCCCCTTCCTCCAATAAGGTCATTCGACAAGGCCATTAGATAAGGTCATTCGTGATGAGTGTGATAACGCTTAATTTTCGGTACTTACCAGAGGATCAACGAAATATGCACTAAGAAGTATTCTATCATGCTAATCCTGATTTGTAAATTTCGTCAAATTTCACCCGTTCAACTGAGAGGTATTTCACTGAAATTTGATTCGAGTGAGGCGGGGTAAAAGGAACCTGAAAAACACAGAATTGCACTTTGCAGGATGATAGAAAAAACACTAGCAACAATTTTGTAAAAAAAAATTGATTTTTAACCTCTTCGAACTGTGAAAAAGAGATTTTAGTGACTTTCAGAACTTGAATCTGAAGTGAATCTTCAAGAAACCTTTTAAAAGCAGTATTTCATGTTACTTTTGCCCTGTGGAATGGGGTAAAAGTAACATTGCTGCACAAATGCTGCACAAATGCTGCACAAATGTCTGATAGCACTAAGGAACAAAAGGGGGCGACTGCAAATGCTCTTCACGTTATGTGGATGAATTGAGGAAGTTTTCAGCTAATACGGTCTGAAAATGAAGCAACAGAAGCGTATAATGCTGAAGCAGCTGCTGTTATTCTCTGCTGAATTTTAAGACTGCGGAAATTCTCTTTCTTTGGGAATAATTTAAATGTGCCAAAATTTGCGTGCCTCTTCAGTTAGACCAAGAGAGTTCTTACAACTTGTAAACTGATTGCTACATGAAAGTTTTTTCATGCTATGGTTTCCAGTGACCACTCTCAAAAGAATTATTAAAGATCCCACCGACGCACGTTGGACCTGATAACTCTGTTCATTTCCTGCCGATTCCTTGTTGGATGTTTTTGTCTGCAGATATGAAAAGTTATGGGTCCGAATGCCGAGACCTCCTTTAGTTAGCGGTCCTTAAAGGAGAAAACAGCTTCATCTTGGAATGCACAACCCTCAGTTAACCTTCCGCTAGCGTACGGTCCTTTAACTAAAGGACCTTTTAGGGAGAGGTGTGAGACGCCTTGGCATCGCTATGGATTCTACTCTGGCGTCTTTCTCCGTTTAAAGGCCTAATCTGGCGGGAAAGGAGTCAATGCCATGTGGAATGAGCACGGGTGGATGAAGTTGTTTCAGCGCAAGTGGGTTGAGGTGGTAAAAAGAGACACTGGCGGTAAAACGAAGTGAGAGGGTTTTCAGTAAGTTATTTGCTTCCCGACTGAAAACAATGAGAGGAGAACCAGCTCAGTCACAGATAAGCCATTTCATTGGCCATCATGACACTGGGGTTTCCTCCCTTCGCTATTTCGTAGCCATCCAACTATCCAGCAAGCAAATACTGTCATCCTTACGTCGATGACCTGCATGAGTAAAGGGATAAGAAGAGAGTAAAGCCGATGGGACGCGAGATGCGGCATTCCTCGGGCCAGCAACCTTGCCTACGCTGCCATAAGAGAACCCTCTCTCTCCTTTCGTCCGACGAATTCGTCAAATGCAAGAGCCGGAAGGAAACTGGCTTTTTTTGGCGGTGACTGACACCCCGACCCAGACTCCATGCTGCGCGTGAGCAGTCGAATTCTCTGGTTCCAACAGCAGCAGCGGACAGTCGTAATGAAAACAGAATAGGAAAAGTAGCAAACGAACCATAATATCTGCCATTTTCCCATTTGTCACTTTTGGAATGGCAGATAAAAATCAGGACTCGTATCTCTTTTGCACCCAGACGTAAATTTTCAGGTCCGATCATCTCACTTGAACTCTTCATCTTTATGACAATCATACCACACACCTTCCAGATCCGTCGCGACTCTTTTTCTTGTTTTCTCTTTTTTTCTTGTTTTTTTTTTCATCTGGTTTCGCGTATAGGCTCATGAGTTGAAAGAAGTGGGGATGAATTTCGACTCTATAGAAAGAGATGCCTTGCACCAATGTGCAGATAAGCAATACGCAGATAAGCGATGATCCACGGATAAACGCCAGTTATATGGGAGAAATCCTCCGTTTATGAGATAAAATAGGTCCCAGACCTACTCGTTCCTTTGCAATTAGAGAATTGTTTAACTGTCCGCTAAAGTTAGAAGTAGGTTTGCGCATTCGAAAAAGGACTCTTCAGCTTAAACCTCGTTTAAGTTAACGAACGTTTTTTGTCGAGGAGAGTTTATGCATTCCCAAAAGACCTCTTTAGCTTAAAGGCTTCTNCGGAATGCTTTGCGTGCGTTTGCTTGGTCCTTGGGTGAATCTAATGCATGCATTCCAAATTCCCTAAATCGATAGAAACAAAAGTTGGGAAAACTTTACAACGTGTGGAAATTGCCTTTAGAGATTTCATATTGGCACTGTCTCGCAGTTAAACTGCAAACAATGGTCCTTTAGATAAATTTCTTGAGGGTAAGAAAAAAGGAGAATGGCGCTTTCGATGCCCCTTCCTCCAATAAGGTCATTCGACAAGGCCATTAGATAAGGTCATTCGATAAGGTCATTCGCGATGAGTGTGATAACGCTTAATTTTCGGCACTTACCAGAGGATCAACGAAATATGCACTAAGAAGTATTCTGTCATGCTAATCCTGATTTGGAAATTTCGTCAAATTTCACCCGTTCAACTGAGAGGTATTTCACTGAAATTTGATTCGGGTGAGGCGGGGTAAAAGGAACCTGAAAAACGCAGAATTGCACTTTGCAGGATGATAGAAAAAACACTAGCAACAATTTTGTAAAAAAAAATTGATTTTTAACCTCTTCGAACTGTGAAAAAGAGATTCCAATGACTTTCAGAACTTGAATCTGAAGTGAATCTTCAAGAAACCTTTTAAAAGCAGTATTTCATGTTACTTTTGCCCTGTGGAATGGGGTAAAAGTAACATTGCTGCACAAATGCTGCACAAATGCTGCACAAATGCTGCACAAATGCTGCACAAATGCTGCACAAATGTTGTCTGATAGCACTAAGGAACAAAAGGGGGCGACTGCAAATGCTCTTCACGTTATGTGGATGAATTGAGGAAGTTTTCAGCTAATACGGTCTGAAAATGAAGCAACAGAAGCGTATAATGCTGAAGCAGCTGCTGTTATTCTCTGCTGAATTTTAAGACTGCGGAAATTCTCTTTCTTTGGGAATAATTTAAATGTGCCAAAATTTGCGTGCCTCTTCAGTTAGACCAAGAGAGTTCTTACAACTTGTAAACTGATTGCTACATGAAAGTTTTTTCATGCTATGGTTTCCAGTGACCACTCTCAAAAGAATTATTAAAGATCCCACCGACGCACGTTGGACCTGATAACTCTGTTCATTTCCTGCCGATTCCTTGTTGGATGTTTTTGTCTGCAGATATGAAAAGTTATGGGTCCGAATGCCGAGACCTCCTTTAGTTAGCGGTCCTTAAAGGAGAAAACAGCTTCATCTTGGAATGCACAACCCTCAGTTAACCTTCCGCTAGCTTATGGTCCTTTAACTAAAGGAGCTTTTAGGGAGAGGTGTGAGACGCCTTGGCATCGCTATGGATTCTACTCTGGCGTCTTTCTCCGTTTAAAGGCCTAATCTGGCGGGAAAGGAGTCAATGCCATGTGGAATGAGCACGGGTGGATGAAGTTGTTTCAGCGCAAGTTGGTTGAGGTGGTAAAAAGAGACACTGGCGGTAAAACGAAGTGAGAGGGTTTTTAGTAAGTTATTTGCTTCCCGACTGAAAACAATGACAGGAGAACCAGCTCAGTCACAGATAAACCATTTCACTGGCCATCATGACGCTGGGGTTTCCTCCCTTCGCCATTTCGTAGCCATCCAACCATTCAGCAAGCAAATACTGTCACCCTTACTTCGATGACCTTGTAAAGGGATAAGTGGAAAGTAAAGCCAATGAGACGCGAGATGCGGCATTCCTCGGGCCAGCAACCTTGCCCACGCTGCCATAAGAGAATCCTCTCTCTCCTTTTGTCCGACGAATTCGTCAAAATGCAAGAGCTGGAAGGAAACTGGCTTTTTTTGGCTGTGACTGACACCCCGACCCAGACTCCATGCTGCGCGTGAGCTGTCGAATTCTCTGGTTCCAACGGCAGCAGCGGACGGTCGTAATGAAAACGGAATAGGAAAAGTAGCAAACCAACCACAATATCTGCCATTTTCCCATTTGTCACTTTTGGAATGGTAGGTAAAAATCAGGACTGGTATTTCTTTTGCACCCAGACGTAAATTTTCAGGTCCGATCATCTCACTTGAACTCTTCATCTTTATAACAATCATACCACACACCTTCCAGATCCGTCGCGACTCTTTTTCTTGTTTTCTCTTTTTTTCTTGTTTTTTTTTCATCTGGTTTTGCGTATAGGCTCATGAGTTGAAAGAAGTGGGGATGAATTTCGACTCTATAGAAAGAGATGCCTTGCACCAATGTGCGGATATACGCAGATAAGCGATGATCCACGGATAAACGCCAGTTATATGGGAGAAATCCTCCGTTTACGAGATAAAATAGGTCCCAGACCTACTCGTTCCTTTGCAATTAGAGAATTGTTTAACTGTCCGCTGAAGTTAGAAGTAGGTTTGCGCATTCGAAAAAGGACTCTTCAGCTTAAACCTCGTTTAAGTTAACGAACGTTTTTTGTCGAGGAGAGTTTATGCATTCCCAAAAGACCTCTTTAGCTTAAAGGCTTCTTTATCTCCCCAAAATGAGGTTTGTGCATTTTGTGCATTCGAGCCATACACTTTTTGTGAGCCACCCAGTATGCAGGTAATTAGCAAAAATTTCTAAAACGGGGGGAAAAATTGAGTAAAACTATTGGAAGCACAAAACCAAGGAGTAAAAGGAGACAAAAAAGGACACTGAAAAAAATTAAGCAGTGACCAAGTCCAAACGAAACGAAAAAGGGCAACAGAAAAACACAGCATGTTCGTTTTGTTGCGGAAATGTTGTGGTAATATATGATAATATATGGTCAACAGGTAGTAAAAAGGAGATCGTGGTAATTGGAGAGATTAATTTTTTTGGATAACCACTGAGCTCTAAGCACTGGATAATCTTCAGCGAAATAGATGACAAGCACCTGAATACAATTGCATATTGATCATTTGCAAGTATGTAAAAAAAAATACTTAGTCGGCTTCTTTTAATGGAAAGACCAAGCGAAGCGTGTCAACCCAAAACCGGTGCGTAGTTATTACCACTTACGTCATTCAGGATTTTAGCTGAGAGCGATTAGATAGCAAAATCAACATGTAAACACAGCAAGGGAGCAGAAGAACTTATCGGGGGGAGAGAAGTGGACAAATGTCCCATTGTGCACCCACTGGAGGAAAGCGCGGTGCTATTCACCTATTCGTGCTATTCAGCTATTCGTGCTATTCAGCTATTCGTGCTATTCACCTATTCGTGCTATTCAGCAATTTGGGAAGGATTATAGTCTCTTCCATTCGTTTCATTCAGTTGTGACGATTATAACGAAAATTCACTGGAAATTTTCTCCTGACCTGAAAAATCTATGCTTTTCATTATTTATTTACTGAATTGGAGACCTGAAGCCCATTCATCCCTAAAGAACAATCCCGTAAATCTGGGAATTGAACGGCACTGATTTGCAGCTGGATTGATTCATTCTCCGCTCTCCGCCAACTCGCATGCTCATTCCAGATTTGATGAGATTTGGTGAGATTTGATGACATTTGATGAGCTAAATATCAAGCAGCTTATTCCCCCATTAGCAGATTCCATTAAGTCACCACGGTCACGCTTTTTTTAAATGCAACGATTGGACGACGAACGAGCAGATTTTTCATTTTCCTTGTACAGCATAGAAGACAATCTGAATTCAGACCTCGCACGCTTCTTACAGTCTTCATAATTTCGTGCTTTGGCCTTGGGCTTTGGAATTTTCTCTTTGAAGAACGTATTCTGTAAATGCCCATCAGCGAAATTTCTCTCGGATTTGAGCAACTGAAGAGATTTCTTGAAGCGTGCAAGTCTCCCTCCCCAACTCGCATAAATAGGTAAAAGGAAACGGTAAGAGAAAAATATACTTCACCATGTAAAGACTGTGCTCTCCCCTCTAGATGGGTGCAAACGCTCCAGGCATCTGGTACCCTGATCGCATGACCGAAATCCAGGAGATGGTGAGCTGCTTGCGACAGCTAAAGAGGGAGACACACATCGACCTCCGTATCATGGAACGAGAACAAGAGAGCTTCCACATTCAGTACAATCAGTACGACGAAATAAATAGTAAGTCCGGGTCTGATTCTCCTGGGGTGATGATTGGTTACTGGGTTAGCTGAGTCCTAGTGTATTCCCTCGTCAGGGGCGCTGAATTTCCTACAAAGTCGGGAGGGGCAGCAAGGGATAGAAGCGAATATCCTTCTCCTTCAAACCCAGAATGCAGAGATGCAGCATAGTCTTCAGCAGAAAGTGAGGTTCCTCATCTAGGGTCCATTAAGTGCCTCTGCCCAGTCCCCTAAGACCTGGCTGAATGCTCCTTGAAGGTTGCTGCCATTGAGGAGGCCCGCAGAGCGTATTGGCAGAAGCAGCTGTCCAACTTCCAGCGCTTGCAGGCCCTGCTGGAGGTGGTGGATAGCGAATTGGTCATGTATAAGAGGGAGCAGCAGCTCGCCGGGAACGGAACTCCAATTACCCGCAGTCTGGATCAAATTCAGATTTGGTAAGCGGGTGGAAATTCAGTGGTAAAAACTCATTTACTCGTCGAATGCGGTGTGGTAAGGTTGATTGCCATCAATGAAGTTGTAGACTCAAAGTTGCATGCAAGTGTCAATGGGATCATGCCATTAGTGCATATTTGGCTCCATTGTTGGTCTGGCAAGCAATCCCAGGGCTGAAAATGTCAAAATTATCAGGATTGACGATGTCAGATCTCTCGCGAGCAGGGAAACGTGGAGCTCAATCCATTTACTTCCGAAAGCTAGACGTGAAATTCAGATATTCATCGACCCTTTCTAGTAATAACAGACATGGACCTCATGGAATTTAATCGATACTAAGCCTCAAAGTTCCAACATTTATGCTGAAAACTGCGATATTACCTCGAAATCGGGCCTCCTTCCAACCCACATCCTACAAAAGTCTGCAAAAGTTATCTCTCCATATTGACAGCGTGCTATTCAGATGCGCACATTCCTCCGAATGTGACGATATATGGACACATTCCATGCACACAAGAATTGTAAAATTAATTTTTTTTCCAGCACCAAACCTGTTCTTTTGCATTCCACTTGCACGATTCACTTTACACACACCACCTATATTTTGCTAAGTATCACCCCATGTAGAAACCATGTGAAACTTTGTGTGAAACTGTATCTAAGAGAGATCTTTCTCGTTGAACAATGGTGTTTCCAACTCGAAACGTGCGGAAAATTATACAGGTTTGAAGGGTTGGCCGAACACATCTGGGAGATGCGGCAGCAGATCACTGCATTCCAACGGCTGCGCGAGAGCTCTAGGTTTCAGTTCAACGACCAAGTCATCCAGGTTGACTCGCTGGCATCGGAGGTCACTGCGCTCCTCTCCACCCTCATCACCAAGTGAGAACATCCAGGCTCTGTCAGCATGCAGTCCCTTCGTGGAGCCTCAGTCACATGCATTGCTCATGTCTCCAACTTTTCAGGGCGTTTGTGATTGAGAATCAGCCTCTCTCCACCCTCATCACCAAGTGAGAACATCCAGGCTCTGTCAGCATGCAGTCCCTTCATGGAGCCTCAGTCACATGCATTGCTCATGTCTCCAACTTTTCAGGGCGTTTGTGATTGAGAATCAGCCGCCGCAAGTGGTGAAAACAGGCACCAAGTTCGCAGCCTCGATCCGCTTGCTCGTCGGGGGGAAGCTCAATATTCACATGATTTCTCCTCAGGTTAGTGAGGAAACACTTCGCACCCATTACCGTTAAATGGGAGACTAGAGCATCGTCGAATGGTCTCGGTACGTAAGTATGTTGGAGACCCGAAAGAAATGTACGTAGTTGTTGTATGTAGTTCTATTGTTTGCAAGCTACGAGCGTTTCTCCTTCAAAATACATTGTGTGAACCAATGAGTGACTGACTTCCACCATTACAATCAGAATCTGGCAAAGTCCCTATTTCACCTTCACGAAAAACCTTAAGGAATTCAAGGAGAAAGGTGTATTTCAACCCACCAAGATTTCCCTCAACCTTGTACGATAATCTTCTCATGTACTCCAGACCATCCGAACCACCATCGTTCCCTTTCCCCCAAATCCAGGTGACGGCGAGCATCGTCAGCGAGGCACAGGCGAGGCAACTCTACCAACGAGATAACCCCCCTACTTCCCGCATCGACACCTGCGGAGAGATCCTCAACAATAAGGGAACCATGGAGTACCACCCGAGCCGTCGCCATCTCATCGCCTCCTTCAGGTGAGACCTCCCCTCTCGTCTGATGCCATTCGAGCTTGACTGAACTGCGAAGGCCATTCAGGAGCATGCAGCTGCGTCGGATCAGGCGAACTGAGAGGAGGGGAAACGAGTCAGTGACGGACGAGAAGTTCGCTCTCCTCTTCCAGACATCCTTCAAAATCGCCGGGGATGTCCCTGTGGAGGTCAGTTGAAGTCACAGATCTTTCCCCTGTTTTTCTCACATTGTTCATTGAAATGAGAAGAAATGCCATCCTAACATCTTGGCGAAATGCCCACCATGCCAAAAAAAATTTAGCTCCGACCGAGAAAATGAGGCTCCGTCTTCAGACAGACTATCCGCATTGAATCCAACCTGACCCAGCATGAGCCTTATCCATCGGATCTCAACCCGTTGAACTTTTCTGTTCAGATTATTCTTGAAGCCTTTACTAAGCTTCACAAAAATATGGAATCGCTCAAGTGATCCTAACAGGCTGCCTGGAGTAAAATTGACGAAATGCGGCGAAACATTGTGGAAATTTTTTCGGAACTCTTTAAGCCTTGTATCAAAGCAAAACGAGGATATATTGAAATTGGTTGATTTTAAACAAAGTTTATGTTTTGCTAGGCGTTTGTGAAAAGTTTTTTTTTTTTCAACCGGATTAGTAGAAGGAAAAATATCCTTGTTTATATTTGTTGCATTTCTTTTTGGTCACCCTGTAGAAATTCAGAAAATTTAAATTCAGTTTGGACATTTGCGACCCTAGACCATTAAGCAGTAGCTGCCAAAAAATAAATCGTTAAAAATGCCACATTTTCTTAGGTATGGGCCCTGTCGCTGCCCGTGGTCGTGATCGTCGGCGGGGCCCAGGAGCTCAACGCGTGGGCCACGGTCAGCTGGGACAACGCCTTCGCGGAGGCGGGCCGCGCTCCGTTCGACGTCCCGGACCATGCCCCTTGGTCTAAGGTGGCCGAGATGCTCAATGCCAAGTTCATGTCGGCGTGCGGGCGCTCCCTCACGGAAGACAACCTGCGGTTTCTCGCTGCGAAGGCCTTCCGGTATGACGCCGAAGACCAAACGGTCTTTCCTAAACCCTTTAACACGTTAACGACCAGCCTATTTTTGCTTGTCCGCCGCGTGGGACCACGGGCATTTTTTTTTTCAAAAAATGCGTCCTGCCATCAGGACGCATGGTCCCAGAAAACATATTTTTGCCGAGTTTTTTTTTTAATGTTGAAATTTTTGGAATTTTTATCAGTAATTACGAAATCATAATCTTCTGGAACGTTCTCAACAGTTCCAGAGGGTATTCATTGAAAAAAAATCTGCATCCTGGCATCAGGACGCATTGTCGCCAACGTGTTAAGAAAAATTCACGTTAAAGTCCATACCAACATATTAGAAGTAAAATGGCCTTTGTAGTAGTCTTGGCACCCGTCCAACAAGCCGCGACTCCTTCGCATTGCCTCCTTCCTCTCCCACGCGATGGCTGTTCGCGGTGATCCTGCGTTTTTCTTCGTGACATGTTGACACGAATAAGCAAAAAGAAGCTTACAGAAATGTTTGAGGGACATTTGTTCAGCAGGGCACGGGAAGGTCCGAATGTGGGGGGAGGGGAAAAGATGAAACGGGAATCGAGTCCTTAAAAGGAAGAAAGAGAAGGAACGCTTTGTCGTGGTCGGGCGACAGTCGGTCGGCGAATACGAGAATGAACTCGTCATCTGGTTCCTTTCGCTCTGTAATTAGTTTGTCGGCTCTGTGGTGTTATTTTTTCCCTATTTTCCTCGAGTTGGTCGGCGTCAAGTTTGTCTTCCCCAAATGACAAAGATATGGGGAAGAGAAACATTTAAAAGCGTTTCTTACTCTATCGAATGTATTATTCGCGGCTTAATTTGCACCAAGGCCATTAAGGACGGCATAGGCGCTTATTCTGGCAGATAAGTCGAGCCAATGGCCCGATTTTGAGGTTTCCGTGTTTCCTTCCCTCCAGGAGCCGCATATCGCAAGACTACAACAGCCTCTCCCTGACGTGGAACCAGTTCTGCAAGGAGCCTCTGCAAGACCGCAGCTTCACCTTCTGGGAGTGGTTCCACCAGATCCTGAAGCTGACGCAGAGGGACCTCAGCTTCCTCTGGAACGACGGGTGGGGTCACGGCATCCCAGCGGTGAGGCGTCTTCACTTCGTCCGCCACTAAAAGGAGGCTCGCTTCGCGCAGGTCGATCCTGGGGTTCATCGGGAGGGAGCAGACGACGGAGATCCTGCAGCAGTGCCGGCCGGGGACGTTCCTTCTCAGGTTTTCGGACTCGGAGCTCGGCGGCATCAGCATTTCCACGATCACCAGTTCGTCTGGATCCAGTAAGAGACGTGTTCGAACGAAGGAGAAAGGGTTTTCACTCTCTGGACGATGGCTTTGTGTTTTGGATGAAAGAAAACAGAATTGTCTGCGTATGGTGGTGTGCGAACCTCAGTTGAAGATGGACTCCCTAGAACTTCGTTTTTGGCACTTATAGTGACCAGCAAAACTGGTCCAATGTTTGTGAATTTTTTTTATCGGCTAATAATTTAATGGATATCCAATCGATCCAAACCGTGTTTGGAGGGAGGATAGCCCTGCTTCTTGGCTTCCCATAACCGTAGACTTTGTTTCAAACGAGCGTGTATTCCCGGAATAATGGGCTCTCAAGCATGAGCCATTGGACCAGTCTTGCGACTTGTGCTCAGTACTCCCCATAGACATTTGTAATTCGCGACGCATCCATCCCAGCTCCACTAAAGATAAAAAAGGATGCATTTGCACCTGCTACGCTTTCTAGCAACTTTCTCCTTCCCTTCTCTCTTCCGCTATAAAACCCATTTCTGTAGAAACTCGCAATAATATCGTGTCTCTGCTCGACAACGGCCTTTTGTCGCAGAAAACTGTAGCGCAGCTGGGCGTAGATCATACTACAGTAAAGAGAGTGCTTGCTTAAAGTAAGCCTGAAGCGTAGAAGAGCCGGATTGGACGACCAGCCAAGCTCACGACGGCCGACAAGCGTAAGGCCGGTCCGCATGGTCGCCTCGGAAAAGGACGATTCTGCCATCCAGCTGACTTGAGAGACACCAAAGACGCCGCCGAAGTCGAGATCGGCGTCTATGCCGTGTGTCGCGCCCTGAAAGAGGCGGACCTGAAGAGAGAATCCGAGAAGACCCGAACTTTGTCGCTTCGACAATGTAAGACTGGAATCACGTTCGTCAGTCCTAGAAGGCTAAAATGAACCGCCTGGGATCCAGAGGGCGCTGGTGGCTGTGGGAAAAAGTCGGATCGTTTGCTCGCAGGGCAGCACCTACAAGGTACGGTCAAGTTCGGTGGAGTTTAGATGATTCGGGTCGGCATGCCTCGGCATGACGGCCCAAGGCGTCGGCCACGCATGCCGCTTCGATGGTCCCGTGAGCGCCGACCTTTCCACCTGCATCCACGGCGACGAATTCCTCAAAAACCATCGAGCACTACGACCTGGACACGGGCAAGATTATCCTCCAGCAGGACAAAAATCCCACGCTTTCCGCAAAAAGGTCGAAAAAAAAAAACTGAATCGAAACGCTGGAGTGGCCAGCACAGTCGCATTTGTGGTTTCACGTGAGAAAGCTCGCGGAGTTCGAAAACGAGGCGAGCGGTGTGATTGAGCCGTGGGAGCATGTGAATTCTGCGTGGAACGACATTCCGCCACAACGATGCACGAATTCCATTGAGAGCATGCCCTGACGTATCGCTGAAGTGTTAAAAAAAAACGAAGTGAACTCGCTCATCTAACTCGCTGAACAGAAGTCACGAAATAGCAATGGCTCCCAATGGCACCCAATGGCACCCAATGGCACCCAATGGCACCCAATGGCACCCAATGGCTCCCAATGGCTCCCAATGACACCAAATGGCTCCCAATTGCACCCCCACCTTTGAGAGCCCATTGCTCCACGAATGCACACTCGTGAAAAACAAAATAGCCTTGCTTCTTGGCTTCCAGTCTTCCTGTCGAACATGGCTTGGATTGATTTGATATCCACGAAAAATCTTCAAACACGAAAGTCACAAATATTGGACCAGTTTTGCTGGTCGCTGTATGTCGCGGTTTGCAAACTCGTTCATGAAAAGCTTAAGTTAGCCCTTCGACGCTGAGGTTTAGTCTCAACTTTAACCGACATCGACTTGTGCATAATCATACAGGAAATCCGAATTCAGGAGGAAATGATTTTCCTTCAGCGAACTGGACCTTGTCTTTGTTGAAGCCCACTTCATAGATATAACCGAAATATATTATGAAATCAAATTTAAAATATAGATTCGTCTTCCTGAAGCTCAGTCTTCATCGCAAATGCATTTTTCCTTACTTGTCTCAAATTTTCACATTTAAATTTAAATTTTTAGAGTTTGGCATAAATGGCACAGAGACCACATTTGGAGCTTTTCGGCAGAAGCCAAAGACTGCCTCCCGGTCCATGAAAGGACGTGTCCGTTCCAGATGGAGAAGAGGGCATGGTAGTGCAAAGCATCAAGCCGTGGACTCACCAGGACCTGCAGGTCCGCAGCCTCCCCGACCGAATCCGCGACATCAGTCGCCTCACGCACCTCTACCCGTGCGTGCCCAAGGACGACGCCTTTGGTAGGTACTACACGCCCGTCCAGGTGGAGCTGCCGTCGACGGAATACATCCAGCCCATGCTCCTCACGCACGTGCCATCGTGAGCTTTCCCGGGGCTTTCGTGAGCTGCTGTATGCATGCATGCAGGGTGAATGTGCCGTTTTGTTTTGCAGGTGGGATAAGGATTGTTGTTGCAGATGCTCTTCGTTGTCGCTCTCGAGGAGTCCGCCGGATGAAGCGACAAATCAGAAGATACCGATGCACATCGATGTGTGAGTATCTCCCGTTCCCAACTTCTTTCCCTTTTAATGGTCGCATTTTAAGGAAATTCAAGTTCCTTTCAACATTGAAGCATGTTTCGGAATTGGGTTCACTTACTTGCAATACTTTTTTTCGATGGCGATGGACCATTTCTTGCACTCAAGCTCTTTCCATCAGAACGATTTGTGACGGGTTCACGTCTTCCTAGAAGTGTGATTCCATCGTGACTAACGAAATAATCTGATATCCACTCGCACTTGCCATTCTGCACTTCAGTACGTAAACAATACAAATTCGTGGAGTTGCATGAAGCGTGTATGACTAACATAGGACAAGTTGATTGCTCCATCAGATGTTCCACATGGCTCTGAATCTAAATTCCTCATACAATCCGATTTGCCATGTAACTTCTCCAAGTTATGTTCTACCAATATGCAATAAAGGTCACGTGTAGAAGATGTCGCTGGATGAAAAAGGCTACGTTGAATCAATATGGACGCTGTGACTAACGTGACTGTGACTAACATAACTCCGTTCTTTTTACCCGCTGCGAAGCGTTTTGGTCTTAAATGGAGATTGCTCCGTCGATGTTCGAACATCTCGAAATACCAATCCATCAGGAGGAATTATTCGAGTACCCTCTCAGATTTATTATCGTATACTTACCAGGACATCATATCATCATCATCCTGGCATCAAATCTGCCTTTTGCTGAACATGTCAACATTGCCGTGTGAACAGTGTGAACGTTATTGGCGTATACTCGCCGACTTCTGGGTGCTGGGCACGTTCCACGTCAGGAAAATGCCTTATTAGGTTTCTTTATGCCATGTAAAGTTCAGCTTTTCAGAGGCAAAAATTGGCTGTTTAGTTGAGGGGGTAACGCAACATAAAGTTACGCCCTCTTTGGCCCTTTTGGGACGAACTGTCAGAACACGTGACCTTGAGGGATGTAGCGATTCTGGATGTCACGTGTTTTGCCAGTTTTGAGGAAGCGATCATTAAACTAGGTATAGGCCACACGGGCACATCGGAATCGCTGCAGGAATTCCTGCTGAGTTTCACCCTTAATTTGGAGGAATCATTTCAATTGTCCTGTTGCTCTGTAACTGCTTTTTTGAGTAAGCCTTGGTACATCTCTCGTGTTTTTTCAGAGACGGTATGACATGCCTGGCGATATCAGCTTGTATTTTATCAAAGGAAATCTGAACTTTATATATGTCATGGAGGAAAAATAAAAAATAAAAAAAATAAAAAAATATATATACGCATACTTCTGACGTGGCATGTGCACAGCGCTCAAAGGTTGGCGAGTACCGGTACACACTAATAGTTTTAAGGCAGTGATTTTCTTGTTCAGCAAAAGACTGACATGATACCATCACAAATCCTACTATGTGGTCGAGCCCTTCATATACCTGGTAAATTTTACATTTAAATTAGTTAAATTTGGACGCTAATAAAGGTTTCTCGTTTCTTGGCTCCTCGGCGCTCTATTTTCCCTTTCCCTCCAACTGCTTTTTTGGCAGACTGATTATGCTAGTCACACTATCATGTTACGTCAGTCACAATATAAAATGTGTTTGTCACGCCCATTCCGAGCCTTGACAGCATCCCACCAGAAAGGCAAAATATCCATGAGAAGAAGTAGGACCTGGGGTAGGAGAAAATGCTACGTTCATGGATAGCTCCCCATTAGTGATGGCGTAGATGGAAAGTTACTCATTTTGTGTGGCTAGCATTATTCTACCTTACTCCCATCATTCTACCTTTGGCCTGGCCTATTCAAATATATGAGAGAAAGGAGCATGAGAGTGTGCCTAATTATATCTGAAGATGATATAGCTCAAGATTGCATCGGTTTACTACAGTTAGTTCGGTTGCTATACGCAAAAACAAGTCTTGTAAAAGCAAATATTTGAATAAAATAAGCAGATCCAGGGAGTGACATTCTAGACCGTTCACGTTTTTGGAATGACTATTGTAACACTGATTGTTCAATCAAGTGTCGCTGATATCTATCTTTCAGTGCATGCTCATAGTATGCAATACTTACGAAGTTTCTATTTTGCCCTCAGGGTTGACCGCAGCGTGGCATTACCCAGAGGCGACGACTTCGAACCCGTCGATTATATGGAGATTCTGCGGAACCTGACGGGCGGTGAGGAAGAGGCGCAGCAAGACTTGGATGCCAACCCATTGATCCTCCCCAACGGAATCAATCTCACTGGAGCGAGAGGATGATATTCAGCCGGGAAGGGCGAGGGGCGCTCGGGTCGGTCGTCCAGCCCTGCCGGTGCTGGGCCGTGCGTCCCCAATGCGAGTATTTCGTAGCCATTTATTGTGACTTTGGATGGATGGATTGGTTAGTGCACCTGAGTGATTTGTGTACCTGACCCGTTTTGATTCATGTACATACCCGTTTGATCGTTAGGTGTACCAGACCTTCATCATGACGTTTTTTACGTGGCTGTATACGGTGATATATATCGATCAGGTTGGTCTAGCCGGCACCAGAGCATTCTTCAGAAGATTCTATTGAGTCGTTGCTTTGTCATTTATAGTTGACGAATTTCGCTGTCTATTCCAGTGTTTTCTTATTGTTATTTTGGAAGGTTGGGGCTTCTTTCCAATGGTTATAAATTCAACACTTTTGGCGCATGAACTCTTTCGGTTTCTTTCTCGTGAATGATTGCTGCATCTCTCGGCGCGCTGCATCTGGAGCATGCAGCAGAGCAGTAAAAGCTAAGCTATCTTATCGGAAAGGCTTCCTTCAGGAACAAGAAGGGAAGCACTTTTTCAACTTGGCCAAAGGATGTTTGCAAAGTGAATGGAATGAAGTGGAATGAAGACGGCGAAAGCATTTTTAAATATACAGAATACTTGTTTCATCAGTGACGATCCGTCTTGGCGTGGTTATCTCCGATAAAAAGACCTTGAAATCTGCAGATACCTGACCCTTTGATTTATACAAGGCGGTGAATGGAGAAGAGGAAATGCTCGATTGATTGCAGCAAAAATCCCGATCCCTCTCTTTCCCCACTTTCTGTACAAAATGAGCTTTATGTTCGAATACAAATTTTCTCGATATGTAATTTCTGATATTTGAGGAAACATTCTGCCATCTTCTGACGCAAAAATGAGGAACATTCCCAACACTCCACTGTAGATGCACCAGACGAAGCAGGATCAAATTACATTATTTTGTCTCATCAGACTCGGAGCATCCCTGGGAATGAAGTAATGTGAACACCATTTTTAAAAGGTTTCCTTTTCTTCGTGGATGGTACGACAGGTCACCGGATTTCCAGGAGATATTTATTTTAGGCATTTCCATCCCGTGCCCTTGTCATCGATTTTTGGCCCACGTTTTCGTGCTCACCTCGCCGTTCTTCATTCCTTGGAGCACATTTTTTAAAACTTTTCGGATTCATTCCCGACCCACGTGACCAGCACCGCAAGAATCAGTGGTGCTTACCGAGCTCAGCGACATCTGGATCTTAAATCCTTTTCGATAAGAAGGAATACGCTTCCAGCTGTGTTGAATTGCGAATCTAAATTCTCCTTGGCGATAGAGCGTCGCCAGGCGTCTGAGCACCAAAATTGTCGTTCTCATTCACAAACGAATTTTAAAAGGAAATTTATTTGCTTTTTCAAAAGAGCTTTTAGTCTTTTAGCAGTATTTTTTCACCCACAAGCATACTCCATCAAGTTCCCCGCCTTTGGAATCTCCAAAGATTACGTGATCACATGATAGAAAATGAGTGCTCTAACAGCTCGGAATTTACGGGAAAATCAAGTCAATTACAATTTTTGACTGGAAAATGCAGGAAGACTAGAAGAGAAAAAATAAAAAAATAAAAAAATCCCGAGCTTGGGTTCGAACTCGAGTCTTGCACATGCGAAGTGAACGCGTTGCTTCTCGGCTATGGGCGCAAGGGGGGTCCTGTCGCGCCGAAAAACTGGGATTTCGAAAGCATCGGGTGGATGGGCGAGTCCATCCTGTTTCGGAGGGGAGGTCTGATGGAAGGAGGGGGAGAAGGAGAGTCCCCGGTCCCAAGGTCGAATGTAGGTCGAAGGAGGCAGATCGTGACGTCACAGGGGTTCCGATGGAGAGAGTGAAAATTCGCCTCCTGCTCCTTTTTCCGAACCCGGAAAAAAGTGGCCGTTCAAGGTCGAATTCAGTGACGTCAGCATCCACCCTCCCTTCCCTCTTCCCCTTCAATTCCATGGACTCTTCCACCACCCGACCTCCCCCGCGTCTGCGTGGAATGGACTCGTCCGTTCGAGGAACTTCTGAGGATGGACGCCTCATTCGCGGGATTCGCCGCGTTTCGACTTTGCCGGTTCGTGCAAGACCGAATTTCAAAGCGTTTGCACTCCTCTGCAACTTAAACTTTTATTTTATTCGAATTTCGCTTCAGCAATTTTTTGTTGCAATTTTTAAAAAAGTCCTTCTAGATCTTCCGGATGAAATTTCCCATGAGGCCTTTTTCTTTCCTGGGACTCTCGTGGTGCCGTTGGACGCCTTGAACGCAAACAATAAATACTCGAGCATATGAATATAATAAATTTCATTTTATTTCCACATCGTGAAGCTGCCGGTTCGGGCAAGACCGAATTTCAAGCGTTTGCACTCCTCTCCAACATCAAATTTTATTTTCTTCGAATTTCGTTTCAGCATTTTTGGTTACAATTTTTTTTTAAGTCCTTCTGGATCTTCTGGATGAAATTTCCCATAGGGCCTTTTTCCTTCCTGGGATTCTCGTGGTGCCATTGGACGCCTCGAACGCCAACATCGACCATAAACATTCGAGCATATGAACAGAATAAATTTCATTTC